AAAAGAGGAAAGGGAGGGGGGGGGGGGAAAAAAAGGCATGAAAAGGGGAAAGAGCACCGGGGGTAAAAAAAAAAAAAAAAAAAAAAAAAAGATACAGCCTATCAGAGTGAACGCGTCTCCAAAAACAGGCCACCCATAAATCAATGTTAGACCGCAAGAGTGATGCAGCTATCGGCATAAAATAAGTACATAATAATAATTCTGCGATATGACATATGTTTCATATTTTCTCGGTAGGACACTGTGCAGTCGTCTCCTAATTTCAAGCAGCACGTCACCGAACAGAGCCGGCTGTCGGACCGCATGAGCCGCAGACTGACCCGAACCTACCAGCTGTACAGCCGAACCAGTGGGAAGCACGTCCAGGTCCTGGCTAACAAGCGGGTCAATGCTAACGGGGACGACGGCGCGGTGCACGGTAGGAAGAAACGCTACATAATGATGACCAGTCGGACGACATGTGTGTATTGTTACATCAACTTTGTACTGATAAATCCTCGTTTAATAACACGGTGATGTGTGTGTGTGTGTGTGTGTGTGTGTGTGTGTGTGTGTGTGTGTGTGTGTGTTGTTGTTTTTTTTTTGGCAGAAAAATGAAGGTGAATATTCTCTCCGGTAATTTTTTTCTTTTTTTTTTTTTTAAATGCAGCTTCGTAAAGAAGAATCATTAATGTACATCAAAGTAAACAGCGGGTTGGTCCCTTAGTGCAAGGCATCTTTTCAAACAATAAAAATGTAAACAATAAAACAATAAAACTAAGAGTTGCATTAAATTAATGAATGAAAGTCCTCTCTTTATGGACAAACTGTGTTAATCCTTAAATGAAGATTTGTTCTTGAAGTCAGCTGAGTTTTTCTATCTTTCTTTTTTTTTGTTTGTTTTTTTTGTTTTTTGGTACGTAGAGCAGGTCTGAGACATAAGCAAACTGAGCTCCTGCTTTTTGCCCCCAGGCCAACAGGGGGCCTCCAAGAGCTTTTGAATTTTCAATTTACTCATCATTATGAATGTCAAACAATTATGACTGTAGCCATATTGATCATTCATTTGCTTTGCATAAAATCGTCCAAATAATTTTAGATTTGTGGATTAAAGAAGAATCTTTTCATTTTCTAGAATTATACATTTTATTTTAGAAATTATTTAAAGCAATAAACATTCTTTGTGTTTGTTTGTTTTTTTTCTCACTTGACGGCTTAAACAGTAGAAGAAACAACTCATTAGTTTGTTATACCCATATTTAAGACAATTTTCTTTACTACTTTAGAACAACATTTTATGATACTGTTATACAACAGGGCACATCTAAGATGGTTAACAAATAATTACAGAACAAATTGTTAATTATGATGAATGCAGCTCATAAACCATTAAGAAGCGGCTAGAGCACATCAGCGAAGAGCCAGAGAGGAGACAAATGTTGCCCAGGGGGGGAGTATTTAACTCCTGTACAAAACTTCTTTTTTTTTAATTGCAAAGCCTAAAACTTGTCGTCTTAACTTCTATGACCGCTGGATTTTCATAGATGCTTTAAGGCTACCTTTCCTAGTCCAGTGTGTTAATATTACAGTCATAAACAGTTATTTAATTATCACTTTGCTTCACCATTTCACACATTTTTAAAATGTTTTTTTTTCCCCAGTCTGCTACTTTGATGTGTTTATAAACGACCTACTCAGACTATGAAAAGGTGAAAAGTAACAGGAAAGAACAGTTAAAGGACGTCTCAGCATTTGATGTCTAAATATAAGACCTTAGTGACATTTTCTCCCACTAAAAAAAAAGAAGTAACTAATGTACCATTAATGCTCATTAATAGTTTATTAATAATTTGCTTTTCATTTGACAGCACTGCATGTGGGAACCTTATTGTAAAAAAAAAAAAAAAAAAAAAAAGTGACACTGCTAATGTAACTGAATTATTTTTGAAGCTTGTGTCTGATCTGAGGTCAGGTTTCCTGCATGCTGTAAACAGCAAGTCTTAATCTGCAATTCATCAATAAGATCAGATCAATTAAACTTGACCCCTCCTTTTTGACTTTTGAGTCCGGATCAAAGTGTTGACTGCCAGCTCAACTAGTTCAGAGAAAATAATAATATTTGAAAAAGGTACAAAAGATCATGCAAGGCTAAGCATGATTTTAACAGCGGGTTGGTCCCTTATTAAATTCCACACAGGGTCTGACAGAAACCCTGGCCTGGCTCTGCTTCCACCCATCTCCCCTCCTCCATCCTCCCACCTGCTCTCTCCTACCCACTTCGACTTTATGGGTAATTTTCATTGCCTTGCAAGTGGATGCTTGACTCAATTTATAAGCACTGGTTAAAGTTCGCATCTTTCTCTTCACTTGTCTCCTTCGTGTACTTTTCAAGCCTTCCTCAGGCTCACAGAGACAGAGGTCAGCAGCCCCGCTCGTTTCGGCTGCACCCTCGGGGTGGGAGTCGCTCCCATAAACCCAGACCGCTGCACCGCTGCTTGTGGTCGTGTCCCTCTGACCACAGCATTTCTCACTGTCCTCTATCCCCGTCTGAGCTGGCCCACAGCGCACAGAGCCTGACGGGCCCTCGGCATCAGCCAAGGCCATGTGAAATCGCTGTCATTTGATGCTATTTTGGAAGCCCTTGATGCTGCTCGTTAAAGGCGGGCTGCTGGATCACGGCAGATAAAGAGGGGATTCATGTCGTTTTAACAACTTGGGCTGAGCAGCATCATTTTAACAGTCTGCTTCATTTGTATCACGCTCATCTTGTCATCTTGTTTTTGTCTGTGCAGCTAAGCTGGAAGTGGAGACGGATTCCTTTGGGAGTCGCGTTCGGATCAAAGGGGTGAAGACGGGATACTACATATGCATGAACAAGAGAGGGAAGCTGATTGGCAAGGTGGCTCGGTCTTAATGAAGCGACACGTTGAATGCTTTTTTCTTTTACTGTGGCTCTTTACACGTCGATGGGACGCACGTAAAACCACCCAGCGAAAGCGTGTGGAAGCAAAAGATGACGTTTCAGATCTCCCTAAAAAGAACAAAAACAAAAAAAAAGCTCAACCTCTCCGCTTTTTTTCTTTCCTCCCCAGCGAAAAGGACGAGGCAAGGACTGCATCTTCACCGAGATCGTCCTGGAGAACAACTATACAGCCCTGCAGAACGCCAAGTACGAGGGCTGGTACATGGCCTTCACGCGCAAGGGCCGCCCGAGGAAGGCCTCGAAGACCAAGCAGCACCAGAGGGAGGCCCACTTCATGAAGCGTCTTCCGAGGGGCCACTTGCTGAGCGACAGGAGGCCGTTCGACGTCCTCCCTCTGCCCGTCCCCGTGCAGCCTCTCAGCAGGCGGACTAAACATTCCCATCACCAGCGCTCTGGGGGACGCTGAGGACCGAAACCACTGAAGAGGAACAACACAGAAGAACCACTTCAAGAGAAAGCATCGTGTGAACTCACACACACTTTTTTTTTTTTTTTTTTTTTTTTAATTTTGCCTCATTTCTGGACTTCTTACGCACTTCTTGGTTACTGGGTTTTATGTAAACTATCTAATCTGCTAGTTATTTACAGACTGTAGCGAGATTCCCCCCCCCCCTATCTTTGGCTATTGAATCAGGGCATTTTACAATCTGGAGAGCTCAAAAAAAAAAAAAAGACAAAAACAAAAACAAAAGAAAAGAAATCTCAAAGGGTTAGACGTTAGCCAGCTCAGCATTGAAAAGAATGTTAAAAAGTGAAGCTAGACGTGGCAGCTATCTGTGGTTACAGCATCTCTCAGTCGACGTGCTCTCTCGGAGAATTTTGTAACCCGTTTTGTTTTTCTACGTATACGGATATATTTTTACTGTAAAAATGTAAATTACATCAAATGATGGATATATTTATTGTAGAGTGTATATTAAAACCACTAAAGAGTTTCGTAAGCTGCTTGTGTGCTCTCTTGTGGTTGTTTTCCAAACTAGAAGCTAGCATACCAACCAGCCCCCTCCACGCCCTCAAAAAAGAAAAAAAAGTTGTTTTTTTTTTTTTTTCCTTCGTCTTCTTCAAGCTGAAAACCTAGATAACTGAGGGGCAATATCTGTGACAGGCTACTGAATTCAATGTGCTCAGCAAGTGAGACTTGGGCCTGAATGGTCTGAGCTATGCATTAAAAGCGATGAGGTCAGCCCACCATTTTGGCTCAAACAAAGGTTACCACCATGTAGTTGCATTTCTCACGATCGCACACCGTAACCCTCTGATCAAATGGGCCCTTTGTGGGACCTCATATAAAAGGGCATGTTATACAATAGTGGGTTCGAATAATAACACGAGGAGGGGTCAGTTATCAAAAAGAAGCCAGTCACACAGGGGGAGGGGTGGCGGAGAGGAAGCTGAGGGGAGGCAGGGGACGGGGGTGGGGGGGGGAGCACCAGGGCCTGTGTGGCAAAATGTGGCATCAACTGAAAGAGGGGGAATGGCTGGGAAGAGGCATTCGGGAATGAAAGGGAGGCAAGAAAGAAACCCTCTTCCCAGAAGCAGTTGAGCATGACCGTCAAAGGCCAAATGACAGGGGAGAGGAAGACCCTAAACAGAGGAGTTGGGCTTCTCTCACCAAGCATGAGCTGGATGTCAAATTCGTTAAGTTTGTGCCTCTCGTTGCAGGACCATGGACTTTTTGCCCCACTTTCTGTCTACTTACAACCACAAACTATAACCTATTTAAGTGGTATTCTGTGTGGCAGACTATTTATTTCAACTCAATATTTAAAAAAAAACAAAAAAAACTGGACCATCCCCTGATGAAATGGGATCAAATGCTGTTTTGTCACTTCGGGGTTTGACAAAGAAGAAGAAAAAAGTTCCTTCCCCAACAGAATTCCCAAAACAACAAGACTGGCTGGTTTAAATGTTTTTTTTTTTTTGTGTCCTGTCCTTTCCATCTGGAAGAAGACAAAGCACAATGGTGAGAGAGGACCTGTGGCTTTGTCTCTGTTTTTTGCACTTGCTTTCTGGGTTTGGACAAGCGGCGAAAAATGCAAGGAATCACAAGGTTGAAACAATCTATATTTAAGTGCCATTGTCCCGTTTTAACAGCACTACCGCCTTTTTTTTTTATATCCACTGTTTAAGCATCTTCAGTGGAACTGATTGTATTTCTTTAATATGCAGTGGGAAAAAATTTGTCATTTTCTTTCCCTATTGTACTTTTTTCTTTTAAAAGAAAGAGATAAAAACTTTAATTTTATTTTTATTTAATCAAAAGGGCAGTGCAAGGCAACTGGAAATATAATTTCACCTCTTTGAATTTGCGACAGGAAACGGTGAAACAAGCCCGCGCGATGGCTTTCAGGGTGGCCAACGGCGTGCAAACAACATGAGGGAATTCATTTAACACAAATGAGACGTTGCCGTAACCGTGACCTCTGAACGAACAAGCATAAAGCATTGTGTGTCCGGAGTGTTTTACAAGGACATCAGTGAAAGCAGAGTGGTAGGTTATGTGACCCTCCTACCACCCCCCGCCGGAAAAAAGAAAACACCTTCAAATGAAGTGCAGTAAAACAATAAATACATCTTTAGGGAACTGAGAAAATGAATGAACTTGCAAAGTTCTTAAATCAAGGTTTTAGAAATGCATGTGTGTGTGTGTGTTGTTGTTGTTTTTTATTAATACTGTCTACATCGGATTGAATGATTAACCACCAAAACTGAAAGCACTAGCCCAGAGACAAGGCACTGAGGATCCAAACACAAAGCTTAAAAACAAGCTTGCGGGTGAGGAGGGACATGACAATCGGAGGCGCTGCCTGAAATGAAGCCCTCTATCATTTTCTTTTCATCATACTCAGAATTCACTGGGTTGTACAGTCGACATCCCCTTCACCGGTCCCCTTCAGTTTCTTCACTTCCTTCAGCAGCTCCTGCTCCAGGGCTAAAATCTCTTTAGGTTTCTGGTACTGGACAAGAAAGAAGAAAGGAAACGGTCAACCTAGAATTACTTTGATATATATATATATATATATATATATATATATATATATATATATATATATATTATTTTTTTTTATTTATTTATTTTTTTGTTATATAAGAATGCGATTTTTAATTGTAAAAGGAACAGACGGAGACACAATTGAAAAACATTTGTTTTAGTACTGATAATTTTTTTTCTGGAGAGAGAATAAAACAGATCTAGCACTCAGCATTTAATCGTCTTTTTTTTTATTGTTAAAATGGTCAAGATTAGAGAAAAAAAAATCATAAAATAATCATTAGATTAGAGTGTGTGTGACTTACACTGACTATTAAAGTGTTGTTGGCATGTGTGTAACTGAGTGCGGAGCCGTCAAGTGGGAGCTGGCTTCGATCCAGATCAGGAACACTGAACTTCTTATAATACCTGGGAAGACAAGAAGAAGATGGCATAACGCAGCCGTTGAACTAATGGATGTATTGCAAACAGTGCCATCTATACTTAAGGCATAAGAACTGAATCCCAGTAAGCACACTTTACAAGAACAAGAAGGTGCTCAGGAAAATACCCCTGGCTTTGAGCAAACGTACTTTTTATTTGTGGTCTTTATGATGATGCATCTCTCAGACGGCTCCATGGAAACACTGAAGACATCCTTGGCATAGGGAAGGTTACGGATTCGCCACTGAAAGCTGGTTTTTGTGTCTTTGCGCAGAAACACCGGCTAAAGAGACAAAATAGAATAATAATAAAAAAGCATTAATTTTAAAGAACTAATGCTTTAAATGTATTGGATACATAAATAATAATTTTAAAAAACCCCCACATTGGAGCAGTTTTCTTTAATGACATCGGAGTTGAGAGCTGCAGGTACGTTTACTGGCTCCCCGACTTCTACCTGCCACACACCCTGAACTCCCAGCGTGCTTTTCTGCCGCCACTTTCTAGCTGTAACACGCAGTGTTTTAGTAAAACACAATGAAATATTTCAGACACCATGCGTTATTAATCTGCAGATGTGTCGAGCAGAAAATCAGCTGCTTACAGATGAGTTCATCTGTTTTCAAGTCGTACTCTTCAGCCATTTCTTTTCCATCTGTGAAGAGGTAATGGATCTTCCTTTTCCCTGAAGGTCAAATATAGAAACAAAAGAACAATTCCAATGTACACAAAAATAAAAACAGTACAGATCAAAATTGTTAGATTCCTTTTTTAATAAAATAGCAATTCTGGATGAATAGATTGTTATTTATGATCAAAGAATTAAAAATCAGGGTTTAGTCTAAAAATACCAACAAATGTTTACCTGCAATTGTACAGAGAAGCCCAAAATTATTCACATTACTGGCAGATTTAGGTTAAATGTAATATCTCAATTTTACCAACATGATTCTTAAGATTGAAAGTAATGTAAATTACAAGTTTGGAGTGACTAAACCAAACTTGAATCTGATAGAGAATCTGTGGGGAAAAAAAGAAAACAAAAAGATTAGGATGATGGGATGGAGGCTTACCGCTCTTAAAGGGCTGGAAATGTTCATTAAAATGAAATTGCTGTCAAATTTCCAGTGAAAATGCACCAAAAGCTTTGAAGAGTATGATTGCTTGTTGTATCACACAAGCGATCGCTTGTTGTATATATACAACAAGCGATCACACTCTTCAATAGCTTAAAAAAATATGTATATATAAAAAATTTTTTTTCATTTTGCTTTTCATAAACCATTTTTCTTAGTTGTATTATCCACTGATATATACCTGTCTGATTTCCTACCAAAAACAAACTTCTTGGTTGAATGAAAATAGTCCTAAACCTAAATCAGTCAGGGGAATGATTAATGTTGGGTTTACCTGTCCAGTGAAGGTATGTAGAGCGTCTTTAACACGACTCTATACTGCACTCTTGTGGCCAGATTGTGATTTGGATTTTTTTTTAAAGTTTTTTTTATATATATATATATATATTATTTTTTTTTTATTTATTTACTTTTATTAACTGAAAAATATTGAACCAAATACTAACCAATGACTGCTTGATAGACAACTGTAAAGTCAGTAGTATTTGTGTAGACCATAACACAACATTTCTGTGTTAAAACTGCATTTCTGTTGGTCTAATGTAATATGAAAATTGTGTAGAATATTTGTGTGCATCTTTTCATTTTCCATTTCAACAATATGCCTAAGTACACTTTTGTCTGACTAATAACGGATTTCATACGTGATAAGCAAAAGTGGCATTGAGATAGATTAATTTTGAGGTACCTCTGGTTAATTTACACTGATAGCAAACGTATGCTAGCTTGTGTGTATTATTTACTATTCGCATGCAAAACCTCATACTTATTAAGTATGTGCGGCTTCCGCTCAGTTGTAAAACGAGTTCGTTGCCTAGTAACATGAACTACACATGTAGCTACCAGCTTACGCTACAGATATTAACTCATAGCGTCTACGAGACAAAAGAAATTCCGGTGATAATACGTTATGTTATGCTTACCGTCCTGTATCAAGGCCGTTTTCTGCGAAGATTTCAGGACATCGATCCAGTTTTGCACGGCCATGTTTCCATGAGGGCCACTTCCGTATTCAACTTGTAACCCCAGCAACCTGATGACGTACACAAAAACGTTAACTCGTCTCACACAGCATGGCTAAAAATAATTAATTCAATAAATAAATAAACAAACAAATAAAGGTACACAATGTAATTTTTTTTACAATATAAATTCTGAAAATTAAACAAAGACACACTTTGGGCTTAACGTAACGGTTGCACCACACCCGGAAGTGAAACATTTAAATTGCATGTTTTATTTCCTCTGTCATCGTTACCGTGTTTATGGTTGGAGTAAAACTGGGGTAAGAGCTGAGATTTTAAGTTTGAGATTTCACTTTTAAGCTAAGCAGTTTTCTTTACGCTATAAAACCTGGGCTTAAAACGATTTATTAAAAACGCACATGTTTATACGTTAAACGTCAACTTAAATTACAGCTAGCTTGCTACTAGCACAACACAGGTAGTGGTATTTGTTCTAAGCAGCAAAAACTAGTGTGTAAGCTGGTTTTAGACTAGCGAATATGTAATTTTGTTAACCGTTTGGAAATGTTAATGATGTCAAGTCCAGATTAAATATCACAGTAAAAATTTAAATGCTGCTGTAGGAGATATTTATAGTTCTGCTGCAAGAGTTGATGTAATCGTACAAGCTATGTTTACTCAAGTGCTATTCCATGTTACAGATTCCTATATATTGAAGATCTATTCCATCTTTAAGAGAACGGTTAAATATTAGACTAAAAGGAGATTTTGTGTCATTTAGCATTCCAACTAACCTATGGTCTTATTTTGTTAAATAATATATACACGTTGCTCAAAAATAATAATCATAATCAGTTTTATTTATAATGCAAAGTCACAGATTTAATTTTATAGAGCTGAGATAATGTGCAGGGATTTTAAGTATTCTTTCTTGTTGTCATTGGTAACAGTAAATCCAGGCTTTTTTTAAGATTACAGATGATTCAAATGAAGCACTTCTTCTGGTAATCTATATGATAAATAGTGTATGCTGCAGAGCTCCATACTGCATTGTTTTAAACTGCTTTATTCAACAGGGCGGTGGCTCCTCCCTCCAACAACCAGGATGGAGCCTCGACACGGGATCGTGAAAGCCTTCCCCAAAGTTAAACGGGCTAACGTGTTGCAGGGGAAGGACGTGCCTCCTCTCAAGAAGAAAACAGAGGAACATGATGTCACAGGTTTCTATTTTTACCTTTGTGAGCTGTAGTCTGACACAGGCAGTTTGAAAAATATCATTGGTACAGTATTGGGTAAAGATGTTTATGGTACTTTTCTACAAATTCTTTCCCAAGTTGCAACCACAAACTTCCATGCTTAATAATATAGGAAAAAGTTTAAGGGATATGAATATTTAAGGGATATTAAACACGATCCCGTGTCGAGGCTCCATCCTGAATATTTATCCCTTAAATATTCATATCCCTTGAATGACTATTTTCATTCATTTATAATCCGTAAATGATCAAGATTCATAAGTAAATCTTGATAAACAAATAAACAAATCCTCACTAGCCTTCAGAATCTGATAAGCATGCTGTTATTGCTTATTTTTTGCTTTCCTGCTTCAGGAGACTTCTTTAATGGCGTCACAGTATACCTTCTGCCTGCTGGAATC